TTTTTTTATTATAAGACACTGGAACAAACCTTTTTGTGCAGATTAAAACATCTTATTAAAAGCTTTTTATATTGAGCACATGTTGATGCAATAATACTTAGATAGATGAAATATAAGCTTAATTTCACCTGTTTCTTTTAAATTTTAATGTGGCTACTAGAAATTTTTAAGTAAATACCCAGCTTATGTTTGTGACCTATAATAGTTTTCTGTTGGACAGGTGATGTTTTCTATTTCTAGGGAGAGTTACTTTTTCTTTCCATCAGATAGATTGAAACATACTGTTCTTCTTAGTCCCTGAGCTAACCTGAGGCTGCACTGCAGTTTTGGTAAGGTTCTGTCTTCTTCCATTCTTTAACATTCCCAGAGCATAGCTGCTGAAGGCTTTCAATTGGGAGCCTGGTGTATTCACAGGTCCTTTTCCGTGGTAGGTTCTAGACACTAGTACCCTTAGCTCTGTTCCTTAGCTCTGACAGATTGCTAGAAACTCTGCTCTGCCTCTGAGACACCTCTTGCTTAACCCCTCAGCCCCCATACTGGACAGCTTCAGTATACAGCAGATACTTTGAGGGGAAAATAGATTGTGTTTAAAGTCTGTAGTTTTGTCTTTTTGAAAGACCATTAGTCCTAATAACTCAACGAGTTTCTCTGGTTCCAAGGAACAACGCTCCCTGGGTAGAGCCACAGTTCTAAACATCTTTCCATTTTTCCGGATCAACAAATGCTCCCACAGTTAAAATGGTGTGAGAAAGACCATTCACCTTGTCAAGGTTCTCTTCTCCCCAGAATCTTAGCTACTGCTAGTCCTCACTACTTTAATAGCTCTCTCATACTTTTAAAACGGTGATTTTTATATTTTTCCAGTAGCTATTAACCAGAGCTTTAGTTTGCCACAAATGATTTCATCTTCTTGGCTTTAAGAGAGACGTTAAATTCTTTTTAAAAAATATTAGTACATGTTTGCAATTCATGCCATTTACATTCGTCTTGGGGAGTGGTTACATGTACAAACCATAGCTTGTTTCTTTCTTTCTTTTTTTTTTTTAAATCTCAGTCTCCTTCCTGCCCTCTCTCTCACTTTCCTCCAATTCCCTATCCCATTTTTCCCTATCCCCATCCATTTATTCCATTACATTTTCTTTATCCATTCACCTGTTGATGCACATACAGGCTCTTTGCAGGATTTAGCTATTACAAGTTGTGCTGCTATAAACATGGATATGCTTGTATTGCTGTAGTATGATGTCTTAAGCAGTTTGGGGAAGACACTGAGCAGGGAAATCAATCACTGGGTCATATGAAATTTCTAATTTCAGTTTTTTGAGAAATCTCCATATTGCTTTCCATAACGGTAGTACTAGTTTACATTCCCACAACCATAAAGGAGGGTTCCTTTCTTCACCGTAGCCCCACCAGCATTTGTTTGATTTTTTTTTAGTGAGTATCATTCTTTCTGGAGTAAGATGGTATCTTTATTTTTCTGTCCTTGCTGGGATAAAATACCCAACACCCAAAGTTAAGGAAGGAAAGATTTATTCAGCTCACAGTCTGGAGGTTTCAGTCCATAATTAGCTGGGTCCAAAGCAGGGTGGCAAGGCGGAGGGGCAACAGTTCAAGGAAGGAGAAGACAGCAAAAACAGCAAGTCTCTTTTCCTCTTTTATATTGTAAGCAGACTACCCCACCCCAGGTGGATGTAGCACTCACACAATCTCAGTGCCCTCCTCTTGCACAGGATGAGGATGTTCATAAAGTAGGACCCTGACCCCCTGCTTAGTTAAACTTGTAAACTTCTCAAGTTCTCAGTCTATCAACCATTACAGTCTACCCCTTGTCAGCTTGGCAACCAGACACATTTCTTTAAACTGATTTAGTTTCTAGATACAAAGACATGGTTATTCTTATCAGTTCACAATTTGACCATTATAACCCAGGTTTAACAATCCTTAAGAACCAGTACTAAGTCTATCTACATTATAGTACATTAGAACCATAACATTCCACCCTGGCCCCCCAAAGACTCCTGCACATCCCTGTATGCAAGAGACATTTAGTCCATCTCTAAAAGTTGCCAAAGTCCTAACAGTTTTCAGCATTGCTGAAAAGTCCACATCCCAAGTCTCCAAGGTGTAAGGCAAATGTGTAGCTGCAAGCACCTGTACAAATGAAAAGGTAAATACTTCCAACTTGCAGTGGCACAAAATAAACATTTTTATTCCAAAAGTTACAAATGGGAATACAAAGCATTGGGACCAAAGCAAGGCCAAAATCCAGCAAGGCAAACACTAAGTCCTATAGTTCCACATGCAGCATCCGAGGCAATCTCTGGCAAATTGTGATCTCCAAAGGGCTAAGTGACTCCACCCATGTGGCATTTCCAGTGGTTATAGTTCCCATGGATTCTCTCTTGGGTTCACTCTGCTCTGTCCTTGCAGGTTTCCTTAGATGATCCATGTTCCTTGTTTTTCCAGCTTCTGAGGTCTCCACTACACTTTTGGTTTTACTCTCATTGCTTCACACATTGCCCTCCCATAGCACACTGCCTGGTCTCCCAGGCCTTCTGAAATTGGGGTGGAAGCCTTCTTAACCCCACAACTCTTGCATTCTGCTTACACTTAAAATCACTGGCATGTGGATGATGCCAGGGTCTGCTGCCAGCTGGAGCAGTAGCCATGCTTCTCTCTCTCTTGGCTGTAGGAGTCACGTGCCAAGAGCACTGGGCACTATGAATCCAATTTTGAGGAACAAATTTTCTGTGCCTCTACCATTCTGGAACACAGTGCTCAGTGCCTTTCTTCTCAAAGCAAAGTTTTTCTCTTTTGCAGTTTTGAGGCTGCAAAGAGTGGAGACTTGCTGCTCCTTGTGATGCCCTCAGGCCATCTTTTGTATTCTCCTGTTCCTTCTCATCACTGGAGATCTCAGTTTTTTTTTCTTTCTAGTCCACAGCTCTATTGGTTCTTCCTTTCTGGCCAAACTCACGACATTCTAAATCATCCTGCTGGGTTCCTTGCTCTTGATTCACAAATAGATCTGCCTGAAAGCCCCCAACAATAACCATGCCACCACCTCATATTTGACTGTCTTGAAATTCCTTTTGCTAGATTAATTAGCCACCCTTAATCTCAGTCTTAGTCAGTGTCTCTGAACACAAGCAGAATGCAGACAGACTTTCCACCAAGCTATAACATACATCATCTGGAGTCTAACAGCCAATGTAGTTCTTCTTTCCAACTGAAACCTCCCGAGCCTGGTCTTTACCGGCAGGATTTCTGTCAGCCTTCTGGTCTTCTGAGCTCTGCCCCAAATCTCCCATACAGAACAGCCTAAAGTGTTCCAGCTCTGTTTTTTCAGCCAGCATCTCCAAACCTTTCCAAACGCTTCCCACAAACCATTCCCACAAACCATGGTCAGGTATAGTTGCATAAATGACCCCAAATTCTGCCTTCCTTACTTTTCTCTTGTTGCTGGGACAAAATACCTAACATCCAAAGTTAAGGGAGCAAAGCTTTATCTACTTCACAGTTTGTGAAGGTTTCAGACCATAATCAGCTGGCTCCAAAGCAGAGTGGCATGGCAGAGGGGCAACAGTTTAAGGTAGCACAAGACAGCAAAAGCAACAAGAGCAAAAGAGAGAGGAACAAGCCTTTTTCCTCCCTTATTGTTGTTGTCAGAGATTTACAAGGGGCGAACAATATAATACAGGACACATATTTTATAAGATTATTTTATAATAGTCACCCAAAGAATCATGTACAAAGACAGTGCAGGAAATCTGTCCACACACTAAAGACCAAAGAATCCAGCTGAGGGCCTGGATTCCACAGTAATGTCCTGTACAAGTCCGGCTAAAAACCTAGAGCCCATAACAATGCCTCCCATGAGTCCCATCTGGAGACCTACACCCATGACAATGTCACATGCAGGCCTGTTTCATGGATCTGCACTGGGAAGGCCCAAAAGTCAGTGGTGGAAGTTAGAAGGGGTCTGTACCAGCAGAATGGAGGATCTGTGGTAGCAGGCTGAGGGAGCTGCACTGGAGCCAGGAAGCAACGCTCAAAGTAAGAACTAGAGCCCCCCAAAAAAGTATCACAGCCATCCTCAGCAACAGTAAGATCCCGAGTTCCTCCAGTGATGAGAACAGCTGAGCTCCTGTCAGGGAAGCCAGTGCAACAAGCTTCTTCAGGAGACTGATCAGTTGACCATCTTCCCCTGGGGAGCCAGGAAGTGATGCTCAAAATAAGGACCAGCGCTTCCCCAAAGTGAACTGTAACCATTCCCAGTGACACCAAGGCCATGATTTCTGTAGATGAGGAGAACAGCAAAGTTCAATAGGAAAGCCAGCATGACAAGGTCCTCCAAGAGAACCAGCAGCAGCCCCAGGAAATCCAACAGCTTTTGACAGTTTTTTTTCCTCTTCTGTAGTTCTGCCTCTTAGCTGCCAGCAACAGCCCTCAGGTGGGCCTCCCAAACTGGTCAACGTGCTGGTTCAGTTCAGCTGGGTTTTACAAGTTGGCCACCAGTTGTCAATCTACCACACTTATATTGTAAGCAGACTACCCCCACCCCAGGTGGATGTAGCACTCACACTGTCTCAGTGCCCTCCTCTTGCACAGGGTGAGGATGTTTACCAAGTGAGGACCCTGGCCCCCTGCTGAGTTAAACTTCTAAACTTCTCAATTTGATACAGTGTATCAACCATTACAGGTGGAATCTTAGCATTGTTTTAATTTACATTTCTCTAATGTCAAGAGATGTTGAACATCTTTCCATATATTGATGATTTGTGTTTCTTCCTCTGTTCATTTCTTATGCCTATTTCTTGACTTAATTTTAGATGGTTTAATATTTTTGAGTTATTTGTATATTTTAGATATTAGTCCTCTGAGGAGTAGCTGGCAAAAATTTTTTTCCCATTCTATAGTTGTCTCTTCACTCTACTGGATGATTCTTTTGCTGTACAGAAGCTTTTTAGTCTAATATAATCTCATTTGTTTATTCTTACCTTATTTCTTGTGTGAATGAAGTTCTGTTCCTTTCCTGAGCCAGGTGTGGTGGTATAGGCCTGTAATCCTGCACTTGGGAGGCTGAGGTAGGATGATTGCTGTGAGTTAGAGGCCGGATGAGTTCAAGGCCAGTCTAAACTACACAGGGAGACTCTGTCTCAACAGAACAGAACAGAACAGAACAGAACAGAACAGAACAGAACAGAACAGAACAGAACAGAACAGAACGAACAAGAACCACAACCATAACCATAGCCACAACATTCTGTATCCTTAGTTCTGTTCCATTGATCCATACAGAACTAGAGAGATGAGTCTTTCGAAAGACAAGGAAGGGATGAGAAAGATGGAAAACATACTTGAAGGAGATGAGACCACTAGACAAGAACATTTTTCATTTTTCTCTTTGAATTGCATCAAATACTATATAAAGTACAAGAAGCTTGAAGCAAGAAGGATCTCAGAGATTTGGCAGTAATGCAGTTTACATTATCTCATTGCCTAACAACATTCCTACAAAGAAAGCGTACCAACTACACAGGAATACAATTATCCTAATTTCAATTTTGACTTACAAAAATGACTGTTTCATGATTCCTCCTAATAGATGGAGCAGTTAAAGTTTAGTAAGGAGAAGTAATTTGGTTAAACTCAAAATTAGAAGTGAAATTCAAATCTAGATTTTCTTTTATCATGTGGTCTAATGTTCTTTCCACTGCATTGTTTTGTCTATTGCTATCATTTTTTGGTTACTCATTACATGGATATGACTTCTAGTTAGGGTTCTTTACAACAAAAAGAAATAATAGCTTGTTATGCATGCGTTTTGGTATTGTTTGCAGTTAAAAGGAGGAAATTATTCAGTACTAAAACTATGTTTTAAAGAGATTTTTGGTTCTTGTTTATCCTGTTTCTTGGTTGGGCAGGGAAAAAGAAGGGGAAAGAGAAAAGGAAAGGAGGAGAGAAGGAAAGAAGAGCAGGAGGAAGGAAAAGAAGATACAGTAGTATTCCTTAATTCTTTTCTAGAGCAGCTCATGGAATCCAGATTTAGATTCACTGATACTCATGCTTTGAGCTGTATTCATAAGATAAACCTGTATTTTCTGTGCTGCATGTAGTGCGTGTATGGTCAGTAATTAAGATCATTTAAAATCAATATCTATTTAAAAATCACTGCATAACTTTAGAGAAATTTTTACAGACTTAGTTTTATTTTCTGACAAGATTTTTCTTCACTTGTTAATGAACAGTTTGGACTCTTAAAAAATGATAAAGACAGTTTGGACTCAATTAAAATAAAACAGTTTTTTAAATTAAATTGCCTGGTGTGCCTGGTGTTCACACATTTCTTAGTAAAAAACCACTAAAACCTAGGTTTTAATTATCTAGACTAGGTAAAACACTTATTCTCCAAGAAAAGAAGCTTTGCTAGATGCTTATTAAATAACTTATTTTTTGTTAATATTTTCATAATTTATACCAAATTTGATTTATTAGCACATGAATTTGGGGGTATTAGGCATAGCCTTTGAAATAAAACCAGAAACATAATGTTAAAACTTTCCCTACGTGTACCAGCATGATTTTCCCTAGATTAGATGTATTTATAATGTACGTATACATTGTATTTCCCTTGATTATATTATGTTTATACAAGGGAATGTGTCCTTTTTGTGTGGGTGTGACTTTTTTATAGATGGGAACAGTTATGTGTGTATGAGTTATCAAATTACCCTTAAGGGTTTTTTTTTCTTAAATAAGAAGTTGCCTAGAATATTTCTGTGTTTTTGAAGTTGAATATACTTTAGTTTTATGTTGAATTTTGCTTATTTGTTGTTGAATGTCAGTAAATATAATCTTTAGTACCTACAGAGTTCTAGTTACTGTTGAATTTTGTTAGCTATTTTGATAGCAGTACAACTTAGGTACTATATAATATACTTCAGCATACTTCATCTCAGTGACTTGGAAAGTTTAGTGATTTTACCAAGTGTTTTTATTTTTTTACTTACGACCAAGTGTATTCATTTATTTACATACTTACTTTGCAGTTCTGGGGATCAAACTTAGGGCCTTGTGTATGCTAGGCAAATGCTTTAACCACAAACTGAGTAAGTGTTCTGATTTTTTTTGAAAGACTAGTTATATGCTAGAGAAAATTACTAATTAATACGTATGATTATTCCAAAGAATCAGGGGATCCTTCAAAGAAATAGTGTAAGCTCATTAAAATTAAAGACAGTGCAATAGGCTAAGATTTTTTTGGACATAACTCCAAAAGCACACAAATAAAAGTAAACATAGAAAATGGGATTGCTTCAAACTAAAAAGCTTCTCTATAGCAAAGGAAACAGTCATCGGAGTGAAGAGAAAACCTGCAGAATGGGAGAAAATATTTGCAAACTAGATATGAGGTTAATATTTAGAATATATGAGGACCTCAAAAAACATGAGAGCAAGAAAATCCTAATAATCTTATTAAAAATAGGAAATAGACCTAACTAAACATTACTCAAAGTAAGACTTATAAATAAATAATGGGTATGTGAAAAATCTTCAACATCACAAATTATGAAAAAAATGCATATTGGGGCCCCAGTCAGATAACTATCTCACTCACTAAAAATGGCTGCTATGTATGACAAAAGATCAGGCTTTGGGATGTATTTCAGTGGTGGAGCATATGCTTAGGATAGAAAAGCCTTGGATTTGATCCCTAGCAGTACCTAAAAAAAAAAGAAAGACGAAAGATAACAAGTGTTGGTAAGGATGTAGAGAAAAGAGAACCCTGTTGCACACTGTGGGAATGTAAATTAGTCATTATGGAAAAAATATAGAGGTTCCTCAGAAACCTCAAAATAGGACTACTATATGATCCAGCAACCCTATTCCTGCATTTATATCCAAAGAAAATGAAGTCAGTATGTCAAAAGAGACATCTACACTCCTGAGTTTAATATAGCACTAGTCACAACATCCGTGGAATGCAAATAACTGAAGAATGAAATCTTTTCTTTTGCAACAACCTGGATGGAACTGGAGGCTACTATGTAAGCGAAATAAGCCAGACACAGAAATACAAGTACTGCATGGTCTCACTCATATGAGGAATCTAAACAAGTCAGTGGCGTAGAACTGAGCCTGAGATAGTGGTTACCTGAGGCATGAGGGAGCTTGAAGGGAGAGAGGGGAGTGGAGAGGTTGCTAAGTGGGCACTAAGTGGCAGTATATAGGGTAGGAAGTGCTAGAGTGCTGCTGCACAGTAGGGCAACTATCTATTGCAACCAAAAAGTAGAAGAATGAAGTTTGAATGTTTTTGCCATATGAAGAGATAAATTTAACCTGATTATACAATATATAAAAGTATCAGAACATCATGTGTGCCCCACTAGTATGTACAGTTTTCGTGTTTTTTATGTATCAGTTAAAAATGTTTAATTTTTAAAAGGAGAACCATGTCCTGATTCATGTTTTCAAGAGCTGTGAGTCTGTAAAGGATCTCTATGTGCACTGTTAAGAAGCCTTTATACAGCACCTAGAAAAAAATAACTGGGAAATTGCCCGTTTGGTAAAGTGCTCACTTCACTGGAAGAGCTTAGTGGAAAAGGCATTTGTTAGGAATCACATTCTGATTTATGTTTTCAAGATCTATGTTCTTGACATATAAAGAACCTACATGTTCACTGTTAAGAAACCTGAGTAAGCTGAGTGTGGTGGCACGTGACTGTAATCCCAGCGCTCAGAAAGCTGAGGCAGGAGGATCATCACGAGTTTGAGACCAGCCTGAGCTACAAAGTGAGCTCAAGGCCAGTTTGAACTGCATAGCAAGCCCCTGTCTCAAAAAAACAAAAAAAAAACAAAAAAAAAGAAAGAAAAAGGAAAGAAACCTGTGTAAAACACCTTAGAAAAAGAACTTAATTAAAGTATTGCAGAAATGATGATGATAATGATGATGGTTTCAGGAAATGGTAAAATTCTATAAAGTGCCTTTATATTTCAAGTGCTTTCATTATATAATTTGTAGAACTTCTGATTTTAAAAATTTATTGAATATTTGCTATATGTCAGATATTATGCTTGCTTCTTATACACTGTTTTACTTTCCAATATCCATATGAAGTGGGTGATAATTGCATTTTTGAAATATTATTAGGAATTATAGTTGTATAATTCAGGCTTTCAATGATTAGATAATATGTCTAAGCTCAAATAGTAGATTAGATACAGAACTTGCAGGCAAGCCTACTTAGTTGACAAAAGGGCTAGAATTCTTCATTTGATAGCATTTTGTATTTTAAACATAGAAAATCAGAAATATATATTGCTTTTAAATCAGCAATAGCAGCATATCACTCTTATTTTCCACATTGGTTACCTGTTATAAATATGTGATATTTGTAAAATTATGTTTTTTAACATGTTCAGAAATCCTTTGCATTTCTAAAGATGCTGAAACGTGCATTCTTTTTTTGAGACAGAGTCTTACTATGCAGTTCAGGCCGGCCTTGAGCTCACTTTGTAGCTTAGGCTTGTCTCGAACTCATGATGATCCTCCTGCCTCAGCCTCCTGAGTGCTGGGATTACAGGTGTGCGTGTGCTTTCTTTCTATTGTTATGTAATAGAGTTTTCTGTAAGCACTGTGGTTTATACATCTATTTTTATTTTGTCTAATGTGACTCTTGTAAAGTGCTTAATAACTATAAAAGTAAACCAGGTAAAAGTACCCAGTAACTGGTAATGGTCATTATCATACTGTCATCCCCAAAGTGAACAAAATGTTAATTAAAATGCATTCATTATTATACATTATATTCATTGGGCAAAAACATAATCTAACTTTCTTTTCTTGTCAGCAACTTGAATTGGTGGAACCAAGTGGCTGGATTCACGTTCCCTTAACTGATAACCACAAGAAGCCAACTCGCACATTTATGATACAGATTGCTGTTCTAGCCAATCACCAAAATGGAAGAGACACCCACATGAGACAGATTAAAATATACACACCAGTGGAAGAGAGCTCTATTGGTAAATTTCCTAGGTGTACAACTATTGATTTTATGATGTATCGTTCAATAAGGTGATTTTAAAATGGAGTAAAAGTGATTAAACCTGTTGTTTTGACATGTCATTACATATTGATATAATCCCATGTAGGTATCTTTATTGAAAAAAATCAGTTAGTTTTCAGTTTTACATATGTTTAAAAGTATTTTACTTTAATAAATACATCAGTTTTGGATCATATTGTCTCTACTTTCTTTAATATATGGTAAAACTCACACATTTTATATTACTAAAAGAAATTGCAAGCCACTCATATTTTCTTGTATTAAAAGAAAACTAGCTGAACTGAAAATTTCAAGCTACACACAGAGCTTTATTTTTTTCAGTTTTTATTTTTTATAGGTACGTGTTTGTAGCACATAATTACTGACATATGTGCATAAGACATCTTTATTCTTTTCTTTATCCCCTCCCCTTCACCTACACTGCCCCCTGCCCATCTCGTGACCCCTTTTCCTTTTGCAAAAGATCTGTTTTCCTTTTTTGTATTATCTGTCTTTTATTTTATTTGCTCTTTATTTATATGTTTCTCATATAAGAGAATATTATATTTAAACTTGTGTGTCTGACTTATTTTGCTTTATATTATTTTTTGAATTTTGGATCTTTTTAAATATTGAATCTTTTCAGTTGAACTTAGCATTTTGTGTCTGATAAGAACCTGAGCACGAGGGTATAATTAACTGTCTCATATTTACTTCCACAAGATACTTGCAACCCTAGGGTTGTGTATATCCTGACAATGTCACGTTGGATATTGCTATATCATCGGTGGTTTATCTCAATTCTGGTAATAGAGTTAGTTTCAAATTTGTCTTTGAAATGTTAGCATTCCGTGGGTATAATATATCCTGTGAAAATTTATAAATATATGAAATCACTGTTTATAAAGATTTTAAATGAATGGTTTAAAATCAATAGTTGATTGCATATATTTTTTTCCTTCCCATATCTATTACCTTTGGGAGGATGGTTATTGAACCACAGAACTTCTGATTCACTCTTTGGAAAAGATTGTGTGGTGATTCATTCATTGCTGAGTATAATACATAGTCTGAAATAGAAAAGTTTAAAGTAGTAATAGTGTTTTTGTTTTATTCTGCAGAGTACTATTTACTTAGGTACTGTTGAAAAAATAGTTTTAATTTTCACTCATCAAAAATTTTGCTCTTCTCTGAGCTTCAGAAAGTTTATTTTTGTTTTGTTCTCTTTGAAGTAAAAAACATGGTGGTTGATTTATAGGATCAGCAGAAGTTAGTAGTCAAAATAAATTTGAAATCACCAAATTGAATAGAGACAGATGTGGGATGTTGGGCAGCATGGAAGAAAGGATGGAAGGAAAACACATGGAGGGGAATTAAAGGAGATGGAGAGAACTGAAGAAATGATACTAGAAATACACACTAGTGATTGATGCTTAATAGTTTGATCAATCTTACATGCCTGTATTTGTTTAACTGTGTAACCAATTTGAAGATAACAATATGTAATACGACAATCATTGTTAATTTCCTATCACCTTATCTGAAATTCTGTATTGCTTCTATTGTTTTGGTGGTGTTTTGTTTATGTCTGTTTGTTTGTTAATATGTTTTCATTCTTTTATCTTTAAAATTAAAAAAAGAGTCCTGTAAACAGCCAGGTCTTAGTTTAAGAGAAATCTTAGAAAGTATGAGAGGTTGTATTCATAATAATGTTCTGCTTATTTAAAGCTTACTTAAAAGAGGAAGAAGTATAACCACTATATGATCCTATTGTTTATCTCCTACTAGTAGCAGTTTGCCAAGAGACTCCTAAAATGAGGAGGGATGAAGGAAAAATGATGAGAAAACCAGTATGTTTTGTTTTGTTTTGTGACAGGGTCTCGCTATGCAGTTCAGGCTGGCCTTGAGCTCACTTTGTAGCCCAGGCTCGTCTCGAACTCACAAGGATCCTCCTACCTCAGCCTCCCAAGTGCTGGGATTACAGGCATGCACCACCACGCCTGGCTTACCAGTATGTTCTCTAATTTTACACCCTTTTCATATTTTTCATATATCAGCTGACTAACCATCTTACTAGGGATGAGAAAATTTTGTAGCTGAGTATTACACAGATAATGCTTTTCATTACAGGGATAATTTTAAATGCAGGTAGACTGTGTGTTATATTAACAAAGTAGAGTTATCTAAAGCTGTTACATTTCACTTTTTTGTGTGCATGGTACTGGAGATCAAACTCAGGACCTTATGCATGCTAAGTGCGTATCTTACCACTAAACAACATGCTTAACCCACATTTCATTTTTAACAATGCATATTATATTGAGATAAGGGTGTATCTCAGTGGGAAAGCACTCACTTAGCATGTGCAAGATCCTGGGTCTCAGTCCAAGCACTGGGGAAGAAAAGCACATTGTATATTAACAGAGATTTGTATCTAGAATATACAGAGAACTTTTACTACTCAGCAGTAGGAAGAAAAAAAAATCCAATTAAAAAATGAGCCAAAGATTTGAACAATTACTTCTCCAAGTAAAATATGTGACCCAGCCATTCTACTCCTTTATATTTGCCAGAGTAAACAGAGCATGTGTCCCTATAAAAATGTATACATGAATGTTCATAGCAGCTTTATTTGTAGTACAGGTTTAGTATCTTTTATCCATAATGCTTAGACTCTGAAGTGTTTTGGATATTTGGATTTTGAAATATTTACATGTACATAATGAGATATTTTGGGGTTTCTAAAACTGAAACTCATTTATATTTCCTGTGCACTTTGTGCGCCTGTAATTTCGTATAGTATTTTTAGTATGCCTGTGTTTCAACTGTCCATCATGTGAGGTCACATGTAGAATTGTTTGTGGCATCTTATCAGTGGAGAAAATTTCAGATTTGGAACATTTCACATTTTGGATTTTCAGATTATAGATATTCACTTGGTACCTCAAATCTTTCTGGAAGCACCCAAAACTGGATCAACAGAATGCATAAAGAAATGACAGTACATCCATATAATCAAATACTACTAAGCAATAAAAATGATTAAACTATTTTTATGTGCAGAAACATGGATGAATTCACAAAATAATTATGTTAAGAGAAAGAAGCTGTAAAAATAGGGTACATACTTATGATTCCATTTTTTAATAAAATTCCAGAAAACACAGACATCGAAAGTGGCAAAGAGCAATGATTCTATAGGATAGGAGTAGGGAGAAAGAATGGACTACTTTGGTGGATGCTGGGACTGTTCGTTATCCTGATAAAAGCAGTGGTTTCACAACTGTATGCATTTGCCAAAACTCATGAAATTGTGTACTTTAAATATGTGTAGTTTATAGTGTATTAATTATACCTCAATAAAGTTGATCTAAAAAGTTACTTTATGTCTTTCAAATAGGAATTGCCTGAAAGATGCCAGATTTGAAGTATTTAAATTTTTTATCGTATGGGGTCTCAGAATAAAAAACTAAACGACAATGACAGAAAATTCACTGATTCGTTTGCAAGTAAATGCTTTTTAGTATTGGACAAACTATGGGTATAAAATTACAAATTTTGAGTTTCCCTGTAATCTCGGGTATAAATGAATTTATTATATGAGGAAATAGTGTCACAAGAAACTAAATAAAATAGTTGAATTTTAAGTTACACATTCATGGAACACTAAAAAATACCCATCTGTGCTTAGGTTTGGGGAACTGAATTAGATGTAATAAAGAAACCAAGATAAATCTGACGAACGGTTTACTTTCCAGTTGTTTACAGTGTAGTAGGAAAATATGAGGTCTTTAACCAACCAAATCATAAACTAGAAAGTCTAAGATCTCTCATGGGTTGAAAAGAGTGTAGAGTAGAAAGGAGAATTTAATTCTTACCCAGGAAGATAGAGGTGAAGCTAAAGAAGAATTGCAGAAAGGTATAATTTTGGAAAGAGTGTTTGCTATATTCGCCAGTTTTTCACAGTTTAAGCCTGTTATTAAATCCAGACTATGTGTGTTTTTATATTAGTAATGATTTGAGTAACATAATTTGTATGTTCAGAACCAAGTGATGTTTTATACATTTATTCTTGTTTGAAGCGAAATGATTAAAACAGACAAATCTTGAAAGGTAATTTTAGACACTATGTCTTCTGTTCTTTTAGTCATTCTGACTTAATTTAGTACAGGATGAAATATATATAATTTATTTAACTTACCTATTTGTAGTGTTTTAGGAAATTGTTATCGCTATAAGCTTCTTAACTAGAAAAATACCAGTTTATTATTTTAATTGAATTCTAGGATATTAGTTTTATCTAGGTAACTAACTTTTAAGTCATATTTTCAAAATATAATACATTAAAACATTAGGGAATATAATTTACATAATTATATGAGAACATTTTTGCTTTGTAGATCTTTTAATCAAGATTATCTTTTTTTGCCTAGACTGTTCAGGGATTTTGCTCTGACCCTTCTAGGTACGATGTTGGGAAATTTTTATTAACATAATACTGTTTATCAACCTTCTACAAGGAGACTCTCCATGACGTGGTTTGTTGGGTCTGTTTTTCCTTTGTACCCAGAAAACTTTGCAGAGTGGAAGGTGATGAAGGAGAAACCTTGGTGATTAGGTTGTTAATTTTCCATGATAATATTTATTAACAGGAAAATGTTAAGCCTAATTTACTGAAAAACTCCATATTATAAATCTAAGGTATTTTAATGCATGACAATTTCATATGAGAAGTCAGTTATTTTTAATACCTGTAAGCAATATATTTTTTAGTTTTATATGACAATAACTTTATTCCACGACCATCTCCACCACCACCATGTGTCTTCTTTTGTCTTTTTCTGGTGAATAAAACCAGCTTCCTATTTTGCAAAGAAGCAGACTTAAAATTAAACTAATTTAGAATTGTTCTGCCTGCTTACTAAACTTTCCTCAGTGAATTTTTATTTCAGGGATGGTATTTTAACAATACAATCGAAATTCTGGCATTTGCCATCTCATCAAAATTACCAAGTTTGGAGCAATAGCTTTTCTCTGATGTAATGCAGCAATGACCATAAGTCTAAGATGTTTCTCTGTGCATTCACTTTTCCTGTGTTGAGTGCGTATTATTGCTCTTTCCCTGTGGTCTTAGAAATAATTGTCCAAACCGTTTTTATAGACTTTGTTTGGAGACTACCTCTCCTCTTTACACTGGCATTCATCTGTAGCTAGAGATCCAGATTTTAACAGATCATTTCCTGTTATTACTACAGGAGTATCAAAATACTAATCACTTACCAAGAAGCAAAATATCCAAAAGCCTGAAGCATAGAGTTCACCCAACTGTTTGTTTTTCCACTGTTAGAGTTTATAAGAATCACATGTTAATGGATATGAAGCTTGAAGTCAAAGAAAGTAGCTTTGGTAAAAGGAGAATAAGTCAACAGCTATTAAGTTCTAACACTAGCAAGTGTTTACCAAGGACAATGGAAAGGAATTTTCTTTGTAATTAAAAGATAGTGCCCATTTTTCTAGGGCTGCATTCAAATAG